ACATTCGATATAAAAGTCAAATTAATTGGCATTTCACAAAAAGCTTGTACTATTAAACATGAATTATGTTTGGAGGTTCAAAGGCTTCTACAATCATAACACCTTACAAGATCAACAGTGTTGGTGCAATATATCACAATAATTAAAATATTACAATTGAAAAGAAAATGACAAAAATAATAAATAAATCTTTAGGCTGTTGCATAGATATTTTTCTCTTTTTAAGGTGACTGAAGACTACTGTGACAAAATATACATCGATCCAGGAACATCACTCTTGACTTGTCCTCTCAAGGATATAACAACCCAACAACAGTATACAACTCAAAGAGCTCCGGATTAATTGAAGAGTCCAAAGCTCCACTAACAGAACAAATTCCTTTAACATATAATTACTGGTCTCTTTTGTAAAGTGAATATAGTTGAAGACTTAGAATATTATTCTTCGTCTCAACTCTCTTTTTCACTACACTAACTCATTATATACAAAATAAAACACTTCTCAACACTTTTTCACATATCCCAAATACAGAGTAAGACCAGACTATTTATAGTGAAGATTTCTTCCGTACAATGAATAGGAAGATATGAATATAGTAAATTCGGTAAATGAATAGCCTAATAATTACATAAAATAACAACCATAATAAGATAAAGTAATAGGTGAATAATGAATTAGAGGTTATTAGAGTTGGAGGAAATTATAGCCACATTCTACCATGAACTCATGTGAGTAATGGGACATATTGCCATAAAGGACAACTCAAATGTTGCACATCATATCCTACAAACGCGTGTCAGACATTTACACATCATATTGTGATGTCCAACCACAACTTCAACCTGATTCCGCGTTTGGAAAGGGGCATATTGTTCTAGAGTTGTGCGGAGAACTCTAGAACAATTTAGAACTCTCAAGAAGGCTAGAGAAGGTCCCAAAGTAGTGTAGAATTCTCTACAAAAGAGATCAAAGTGTAAATATTTTAGGTACTTGTAAAATAAATATTAATTGCACTTTAATCCATAGGAAGTAGTATAAATAGAGGTGCCCCTTATTTGCAAAGGAACCAAGCAAGTTGTAAAGAAATCTTCCAAAGCAATACAAGCCTTCTGCAAAGTTCTCTTTTGTTCTTTCAAAGTCTTTCTTTGCATTCTCTTAGCGTTCCGAGTCTTAAAGGCTTACTTGAGCTTACAAGATCGTAAAAGATTCGTAAGTAAATTTTCAAGTGCGCATGGAGTCTTAGCAAATACTCTAAGTTCGTGACAACGTGGTATCAGAACCAGGTTTGATACTAAGGGAATGACTATCGAAGGAGACCTAAAAGGCGCTAGCACCACCAACGTCCGTCTAGATGGTGGTAAGAAGAACCGAAAGGGGAAGAAACATCTAAAGGTTAATTAGGAGGTGCTGCCCGAACTCACACCTAGTGAGGCGCTAACATCTCATCCACCCTCGACTGCCGAAGCAAGTGACGAAGAATTGTGTGAAGATGCCATAGACGTCACTGATGGAGAAGAATGGGTCACAAGGGTGGAAGTGGCGAGACAAGCCGTCAAGATCTTAGGCCGGCGCATGAACGTGGCAGACGGCAAGTTCAAGACCCTTGAGGCTTCATCCTTGAGGAGACCGAGAACATCCATAAAGAGTTAGAAGGTGGCCAGCGGGCCAAGTTTGAGATAAAAGAGGCCATAACTTCCTTGGAGTGTCGACTTGTGGATGTGATTAACGCGAAGGAGACCATAACTTCCTTGGAGAGTTAGCTTACAGAAGCGCTTAGCACGATCAAGACCTTTAAGGCCAAAGTGAAAGCACACAAGGAAGACATAGAGGTTGGATGATCTGCGTCACCTAACCGTGATAGGGAGGCCAGGGTCAAGGCTCCCAATCCACCTATATTCAAGGGGGTCCGTGACGCTCAAGAGGTGGAAAACTTTCTATGGCACTTGAAGAATTATTTCAAGTGTAGTAGGGTGAGAAGCGACGAGAACAAGATCAACACTGCCATAGTGTACTTCTCTGAGATGGCTATGCTGTGGTGGAGGCGCAAAGAGGCCAAGATCGGGAAGGGGACGTGCACCATCAACACGTGGGAGCAATTCCGCAAAGAATTCAAGAAATCCTTCTTCCCAAATAATGTCGTGTACAAGGTCAAGCGCAAATTCCGAGAATCAAAGCAAACGAGAAGCATTTGGGCGTATGTGAAGGAGTTCACAACTCTAACACTTCAAATTCCCAAACTCATAGACGAGGACATGATGTTCCACTTTATGGATAGACTACAAAATTGGGCTAAGACAGAGTTGGAGCGCTGACAAGTCAAGACCATCGACGAAGCCATCACACAAGCCGAGTCCTTAACAGACTTCAAGCATGAACGACATGAGAAGGCGAAGGGCAAGGATACAAGAAGTAGCCATGCCAATGGTGGGGGAGACCGTGGCCGAGGCAAGGAGCAGCAGGCACATCCCAAGCAACACGACCCCCACAAGCAGAACAAACAGCGATTTGTGTGCCAAAATTATACGGAAAAGCGGGCGCAGACTAGGAAAGGAGATGATTGCTACATATGTGGAGGACCACATGGCTATGATAGGTTCCCCGGAATGAAGAACCTTGGTGCAATCCTACATGAACGGAAGGATAAGAACGCACAAGAGCAAGGGCATGACGCGAGCACGACGTAGTTGGGCATGGTTGGACTTTGCAGTGCGATATCCAAGCATACTGAGAAGCCAGAAGACTTCAGCACGCAATATGTAGACATCTCCATTAATAGACGACCAGCTCGTGCCATGGTAGACTCCACGGTTGAAGCAAACATCATGACCAAACCGGTGGCAAAGAGGTTAGGGATGAATTACGTGCCAAGAAACAACCGCGTCAAGATAGTTAATTCCGCACTGACTCCCGTGTGCGGGGTCGTCCAAGGAGTAAGAATCACATTGGGGAAACTTTACCGTTGCTCCTCTAGAAATATTCAACATTATTCTCGGGCAAGAGTTCTTTCAGCGTTGGCACACGATGATTGACCCCATCCTCCAACAACTCATGGTCATGGAGCGGGAAGGGTCATGCATGATACTTCTAGTCAAGGTGCCAAAGAAAGAAGGACACACCCACTTATCGGCCATGAAGATTGTGAAGGGCCTAAAGAAAGGAGAACCTACGTTTCTATCTACCATTGCAAGTTCAGGAGAAGACAATTGTACTATGGAGTCACTGCCACCTCTCATAGAAAAGGTCCTTGATATAACATTCAGGAAAATTACATGTATAGTGAAGAGCCCAATAGGACTTTAAGAATGCGTATTGGGGGTACATAGGCATCCCAATGCCCAATATTGAGAAATATTGAGCATAGTATAGAGAATTGGCTAAGGGGTATTGGCCAATTTCTATATAATACCCAAATAAGTAAATTATTGGGCATATTAGAAAATATTGGCATAAAGGGTGTTAGCCAATTTTTCTAAGTATCAATGAGCTTGTTAAAGAAATGTACCTGCAATGGAGACCCTAAGATAAATTAATATTTTATTGCTTAAATCACAAATTAGGTACTAGGCATCCAAGTGTCAAGCCTAGTACCATGGCATATAGCACATGATCATTTAAAATGATCATGTATATTAAGCAGTGTTAGAGACATGGTGAGGGTCCATGGGACAATAAGTAAACATTCCCAAATGAACCATAAATAATAGTTATTTAGGAAAGTGAAACCAACCCAGGTGCAAGTACATGTGCAAGACATGTTAAGAAGCTGCCAAAGGAGGGGACCGCCCTAACTGAATTTGGTTAGGGTAGTTCGGGGGAAAAACGTGAACAAGGGACCACTCGATGTGGGGCCTAAACTCCCTACCAATTCTAGACTCTAACCTACTGCCCTAAATAACTAAATAACCTAGGAGTAATCAAATTGGACCCATAAGTGCACCCAACAACCTAGGACCAAAACCGGGTTGACACTAACCTAGGACTAGTTAAAGAGACAAACTAGTACCTAACCTAGGATGGTTAAAAGGTTAGTTATGGTCATAACAACTTAGAGGTACTTTTTTTAATCCCCCTAGGTTACCTAATTAATTAATTTAACAAATTAATTAATGAATTGATGATTTTCATGTTAAAAACCTAATGAACTTATGTTTATGCATATTTCAACTTTTAGCGTGGGAATGGGTTATATGAGCATGTTTGGGTGAGGTATGAACTTTGGTTTTCTTGTGTTAATATTCTGATTTAGCTACTGCCCTAAGAGCCTTATTTTGATGAAATGTTGATAACATTCTTATAGGTTATTATGGCTTGGTTAAATGGAAAGTTGCTTATAATGTTTAGTTTTCATTATAATTTCTCTTGAGTGGTATGGTCCACCTTCTTGGTGGCGGTGTTTACTTGAAGAATTTGATGTTGTTTAGTATGTATTGTAAATGTGGTTCTAAAGGACTAGTAAATGAAATAGATTAACATTGAAGATGAGTCATGTCTAATGTTTTGTGAAGTTGAATAACATGTTTGACTTGTATTATGTCTAAGTGAAGTACATGAATATGTGAAGTATATAAGGTGTGTGAATTGATGAATGAAGGTCTAAACCATGTATAGAAGTTAGTAAGAATGAATTGATGTTTATGTTCAAGGTGTGCTCACATGTACACACACACTCACACTTAAAAGAATGTATGATGCTAAGTTGAGAAAAGGGGAGTATTGGGGTGGACACTCTTCGTGAGTTGAGATGATGTAATCTAGTAGTAACCTTGTTATTCCTAATGATCTTTCCAAGATAGGTTGGAGAATGAATGCCCTTTGTGAGTTCAGATGTGGTGTTTACTAATTATCCTTAACCTATAGGTTTGAATGTTGAGAAATCCGTGGGGAGTTATGCCTAGCACCGAGAGGATATGAAGGAGAGGTGGATTAAACTTCGTGAGTTGAGATGTTGTATTTCCAAAGTACCTCTTGATATGAGTACTCCTTGTTACTTAGTAGCAATCTCCTTATCCCTTAACTATGTGTTCACATAGGTATAGATATATTTGAAAGCCATGTCAAAGCTAAGATGCATGACCTTACTCTAGGCATGTGAGGATGCCTCATCCGATAGGGGTTAATATCGGGATTCCATGTCTAGCTCTCATGGTCTATGTCGATTAAGCTAATCCTCCACAAAGAATTGATTGAACTAAGTCTTCTAAAAGAATGTACTACTTAGTGTAGGTGGTGGTATGAGACACTATCTACTCATTGCACGAGGTAGAACCTTACGAAAGGGAAGACTTGGTGCCAAACCTTCTAAAAGAATGTACTACTTAGTATAGGTTGTGGTACGGAATGCTATCTACTCATTGCACTAAGTAGTCATTCCGGAAGGAAAGACTTTGGTGGTTTGTTAGGTGTATCTTAATGTCTTGCCATTGATTGAGGTGATTGTTTCTCACGAGTTGAGTAAGACAAAAAGAGTAGTCTAGAGGGTTGATTTGGTGTAAACTAGAGGAGGTATATGTATACTTCCATCATATCTTACCTTAGTGAGTCTTAGGGTATTTCGAGGTAGGGAAACTCTTAAGGAAAATGAGTTTACTTTCTCTTCGCTTGGCCTTGGAAATTCACTCATTTAGTGTAAAACAGTTCATTGTAATTGCTCAAGTTGAATTTATTGTGAATGCTTTAAATGATTCCTTGTCGATGTTCAAATATATTTTCGGTAAATTCTTAAGGAGTTCACCGTTATAAGGTCAAGTTGGTTTTCTGTATGTTTTGACAAAGTCAAAACATTATACTAACCATGAATGTTTTGACTTTGTATTTCATGAATGTTTTACTATGATGGTTATACTAACCATCATTGACTTTGTATTTCATGAATGTTTTACTTAAATTGCATGAAAAACTATTTTACTAACCATCATTGACTTTGTATTTCATGAATGTTTTACTTAAATTGCATGAAAAGCTATTTAACTAAAATTTCCCTTTTTACATGTTTTTGCATATTTAATACTTAGTACATTATTTTGTACTAACCCCATACTTTTCTATACTATATAAGTATAGGTTGGAAGCTTTTGAAGGTTTGAAGGATAGAAGGAAGAGCTTGGGAAAGTTTCTCTCAAGGCAAAGTATGTCCTCATATATTCGAAGGCATAGTCCTTTTCTTAGTTTTATTAAAAGACTTATTATGTATTTGATTTCAATGTAAAGGGCCGTGTCCCTAATATATTATATGTCGTGTCTTAGGTTTGGCTTGTGACGATAAGATTTCTTAAGTATTTATGAAAGATTTCCTTTTTATTAAATTATTCATGAAAATTTTTAATTTCACACTACTTTTCATTCCACACTACTTTTCATGTCTTATGTAATGAATGCTAGTTGAAGGGATTATACAAGACTCCAAAGGGTCTAGTACACCCGGCCACGAACGGGGGTTCCTTCTAACTTCTAGCGGGTACGTTCGGGTCGTGACAACAGGGAAATTTGACATTCATATGGAGTTTCATTTCTAACCTTGACGGATGATGTCAACCCTTCAACCATTTGATGAAGAAAGATGTTCCTTTCCACTGGGACCAATCATATCAAAATGCTTTTGAAAGCATAAAAAGCTACTTGTTGAATTCAGTGTATTAGGGGAACCAACTACTGGAAAGCCATTGATACTATACATTGAATCGCAAGAGCGATCACTTAGGGCACTTCTTGCCCAAGAGAATGAAGCTAAGAAGTTCCTGAGTTGGACTTTGATAGGGGATGAGTTGAATTATACGCCTATCGAGAAGATGTAGCATTGCTTTATGCAATTAAAAAAATTAAGGCATTATTTTGAAGCCTACACTATCAAGCTAATTTCTTGAGTAGATCCCGTGAACTTCGTAATGACTCGACCAGTTCTCTTAGGACATCTAGCAAGATGGTCTATATTGTTTAATCAATATGAGATCATATGCACACCTCAAAAAGCTGCGAAGGAGCAAGCACTTGCTAATTTCGTTTTTGCTCACCCACTTCCGGTAAAATGGGAAACTTTAGATGAGTTTCAAGATGAAGATGCATTTTTTTTACTGAAGAGATTCGATCATGGACAATGTTCTTTGATGGATCTGCATGCCGAGATGGAGCAGGGCAGGAGTGGTGTTGATATCTCCAGAATGACTAATCTTAACATTTTCATTTGTTCTAGGTGAAACATGTTCCAACAATGCTGCAAAATATCAAGCTTTGATTGTGGGCCTTGAAATGGCATCAGCTATGACCATTCCTCAATTGGACGTATACGGTGATTCACAATTGATCATCAATCAACTCC